TATGTTGAGTGTACTATACTGACTGTTCGTCTATCTCCGTATGTTAAGTGTACTGGATCCCGTATGTTGAGTGTGCTATACTGACTGTTCGTCTATCCCCGTATGTTAAGTGTACTGACTGTTCATGGATCCCGTATGTTGAGTGTACTATACTGACTGTTCGTCTATCCCCGTATGTTAAGTGTACTGACCATCTGTGCATCCCCGTATGTTAAGTGTACTGACTGTTCATGGATCCCCATATATTGGGTTGTCTGAAAGTCATGAGTATTTTTCTACGTTTTTCTATGCAAAAATGCATCGTGGCTTTTCCAATAACTCAGTAGATTCAAGGCTATAAAACCTCAGGGCTATTACAGTCTAGAATACAGCGTTAAGATTAGCCTGGCATTGAGAAAAGTTCAGCCTTACCTTTATTAATACGAGTATTTTATGCTGCGTGGCTTGTTTTTAGGAGAGAGTCTTCTGGCCAGTGGCTCGTGGCATCTGTCCACACTGTACCTGGATGGGGAGATGTGGGTGGTCGCCCTCGTTCTTCCTTACCTAGCCTTGTCCTGGGCGGGACCCAGTGTGGCTCTGCCTTCTCCTCTCCAAGAGGGAAGACTGGCCTGAGTGCTTTCCCGCAGCCGGTGAAGCTGTGTGCTTCTGAGTGTGCTCTAAAGCGTTGGTGTGAAAAAGCGCACCATTCCTACACTCATCCTTTCTTACATGGGCTACAGACATAGGGCAGATTCTACGTGAGGCGTGATACCACCTGTGCCCGTGCTTTCGTTTGCTGGCCTTTCTGTTTCAGCTGGGACTTGGAAAGGACTTTAGACCCACCACCTGCTCACTCTCGGAATGTCTGCTGGCATCTGCAGGCGTCATGGTTACAGTCGGACACTCGTGTCAGGAGGACCTTCATGCTCTGTCCAGAGTCTTCATGTGTGAGCGCGGCACAGCCACACGGAAGTGCTGCTGAGTTCTGGTTTCCTTTCATCAGAGGTCTCTAGGACTAAAAAAACTATTAACATGTTAAACATTTTTAAATTTAATTTAATTTAATTTTATTTTTGGGCAATAGGGTACATATGCTTGCTCGCGAGAGATAGACAGAGAGAGGGAAAGTGAGGAAACATGCCCCAGTGGGGACAGCCACACCACAGTCCTTTCTCCTCTATTCTCCTCTCTTGATTTTGGGCACACACATGCACCTGGCATGATTGCCCAGCTGCCGAGTCTTGAACTACGTTTGGCCGTATGGGAGTTCTTAACCGCCATGGACTAGTCTGCTCTTGAACGTGGAGGTTTTTTTTTTTTTTTTTTTTTTAGAGGTTTTTTGCTGTAGGGGACGTGCACTCGCCTGGCGGAGAGACAGAAAGTGAGAAATCACCCCCTGGGGGATGGCCACGCAGCAATCCCTTCTCCTCCATTCTCCTCTCTGGATCTTGGGCACACACGCACATGTGCCCGGCGTGAGTTTAAGCTACCAGGTCCGGGACTCGAACCGCGGTCGACTACGTGAGAGTCCAGCGACATAGCCATTACGCTAACCACTGGTCCCAACGTGGAGGTTTTGAAGGTGGTTGTCCTACTTACTACCTTTACTTTATAAGTCATGTGAGTTCTTTGTAGCCTCAGGTTGAGCTTATACTAAATGAGCTTAAATCTGCTTTTCTTCCCCAACAGGGTGAATCATCTCATTTTAGTGGAGCCTTGGGGTTTTCCTGAGCGACCAGACCTTGCTGATCAAGACAGACCAATTCCAGTTTGGATCAGAGCCTTGGGGGCAGCACTGACTCCCTTTAACCCACTAGCTGGCCTCAGGATTGCGGGGCCCTTCGGTGAGTAGATGTTTGTAGATGAGCAGCAGAGGCGTATGTCAGGATCGTTGTTAGACAGAATCTTAAAAATAAACAGGGACCAGCAGATGGCATAATGGTTATGTTGCTTGACTCCCACGGAGTTGACCGTGGTATGAGTCCCAGACCTGGCGGCTGAAAAAAACGGCAGACGTGTGTGCATACGTGCCCAAAATCCAAGAGGAGAAGAGAATGTGGTTATTACTCCAGGGGGTGATTTCTCGCTTTCTATCTCTGTCTCTATGTATGGCAAGTGCACACGTCCCATACCAAAAATTTCTCTTAAATAAATAGATACACAAACAAATAAAAAACACCTGAACCCTTACCATTTCGCTTCCTCCTCTAATTAAAGTGCCAAGCCACACACACAAATGCATGAAACCAGGCTCTTCTCAAGGGGCTTCTCTATGTATGAGTAATTAGCAAAGCAGAGAAGGAGGGAAATGCTGCAGATGAGGTTAGTCACTATTTTTCTTTCTTTTTTTTGAAAGGTTTTTGCTATAGGGTGTGTGCGCTCGCCAGAAAGACGGAGAGAGACAGAAAGTGAGAAATCACCCCCAGGAAGATGACCATGCCGCAATCCCTTCTCCTCCATTCTCCTCTCAGGATCTTGGGCATGCACGCACACGTGCCCGGTGTGAGTTTAAGCCACCAGGTTAGGGACTCGAACCATGGTCGATTACGTGGGAGTTCAGTGACATAGCCATTACGCCATCTGCTGGTCCCAAGGTTAGTCACTCTTGAACATTTTGAAAAAAGTTAAGAGTCTGGATTGCACAGTGGTTAAGGCAGCAGGATTTCACATGGCCAGTTGTATGGTTCAAGTCCCAGACCTGGCAGCTTGAAAAAACATGTCAGGCATGTATGTGTACCCAGAATCCTGAGAGGAGAATGGATTGCCCCAGGGGTAACTTCTCACCTTTTCTCTCTCCCTCTCTCTCTCTCTTTTTTGCTGGCGATCACATTCAAAAAAAGAAAAAAAAAAAAAGTTAGGCAAGCAGAATACCCTTAGCAAGTGTACCTGCTAGCTCGGCACGTGAGAAGCGTGACACGTTGACCTGATGGTGTGTGTCAGAGATTTGGCCAGTTGAGAACACCTAGCTGGTAGATCACAGAGCCTGGTTTGGGCTCCTGTGGGGGTAACAGGGACTCCCACACAGAGTCCTCCCTTTGTCCGTAATGTTTGGGGTGTTCTGTGAAGTCACCCTTTCCCACAAATGTTTTGAAGCCACATACTATATCTGTCCAGCCATATTTTTTAGGTACCAATGTTTGGTGTCATATTTAGGGTTACTTGACCCTCAACTCCTATCGCAGGCCTGTTGCCAGGAGACAGTGACGGGGAGGGAGGACGCACAGGAGAGGCCCTGGAGAGCTGTGCCCTCTGTCTCCCAACAGTGCTTGCATCGTGGGGCCGGGGGGGATGTAGAGCCTCCCCTGATCATGGAGTTCAGGGGGTTAACTCCATCAGAGGTGGGAAGGCAGGGCTAGCCAATGAGTCCGGTCCGGATGGATCAGTGGGTAGTTGGAGCAGAGAGCGAGTCTGCCGGGGTGCCGTGCCCAGAATGAGAGAGGGCGACTCGAAGATAGCTCGTGCTGCTCACACTCTGCCTCTGGGCCTTGCCCTGCCTCCCCGGGGTGGGTGACCTGCAGGGGGCGGTGACCTGCAGGGGGCGTGCTGGTGTCCCAGGCTGAGACAGTCTGCACTCCCGCAAAAGCTCACTTCACTTAGGTGCCGATGCATGACACCTGCAGAGGAAATGCATGTTCATGAGTTAGTTTTATGCATGGGCTGCTCTACTTGCCTGCTGTGTTTAAAGAACACGCCTTGGGAAACTCCTTCCATGCTCTCGAGTTCCCGGAGCACACCAGGAGTCGGTCCGCAGCCCTCCTCGGTTCTTGCTTTCCTCTTTCCTCGGGGACTCGGGAGCAGCTCGCAGGACCTGCAGTGTCTGTGTGACACATGCGTAAGTGTGCGCGTGACACTGGCTCTGCAGGCACTAACGCCTTCTAGACCACACGGCCTGTAAATTCATGTAGTTTCAAACACACTTGCTTCTCTGCTTCATTTAATAGGTCTAAGTCTAGTGCAGCGTCTAAGGCCCGATTTCAAACGGAAGTACTCGTCCATGTTTGAGGACGACACCGTGACAGAGTACATCTACCACTGCAACGTCCAGACTCCCAGGTAAGGGCCGCGGCTCCGGGGTTACTGCCCTTGTGCCTTAGACTTTGCTGATTCGAAAATGTGTAAGTTATGCAGAAGATTTTGTCAGTAGTTAAATGATTAAGTTTCGATCAATACTATCTAATACTTCTATGAATAATTACTAGTTATTCATAGAGTACCTGGGTTCTGAAGGGGAATTAAAAAGTAAGCCTTACTCTGTTCTGCTAAAGTGCTGTGGTAAGTTGAGGAACTCCCCGTCGGGAGCGCCTCTAGGAGGGGGTCTCTGTGAGTGTTTTCAGGTTCACTGACGACTGTGCCCCTTCTACCCGGCAAGTCTTGTATCTGTGAGTTGCCGGGGAGATAGCTGCAGTGGGTGAGGAGCAAGCAAGGGTGGGGTGGCGGAGGGGACGGTTCTGCAGGTAGTGTTACAGCCTCAGGAGAGTGAGCGTGCAGAGGAGCCAGAGGGCCAAACATTCTTAAAAACCATGACTTAGGGTGCCGGGTGCAAGATTCCAGTGGGGAAAACAGCCTGAAGATAGTGGGGAGCGTGGCAGAGGCCGAGTGGCAAAACTGTGGCATTGCTGGGAGCGCCAGGACGGGTGTGAGGACGAGGGCTGCGCTTCTCCAGCTGGTTTGAAGTGTGACTCCAAGCCCAGTCCCTTCTCTAGACGGGATTTGCTATAGGGCACATGTACTTTTCGGAGCTGGAGAGAGACACACAAAGTGAGAAATCGCCCCCCAGGGGGATGGCCATGCTGTGGTCCCTTCTCCTTCATTCTCCTCTCAGGATTTTGGGCACGCATGCACACGCACCGAGCGTGAGTTTTAAGTTGCCAGGTCCAGGACTTGAACCACAGTCAGCCACGTGGGAATCCAGTGACATAACCATTACACCATCTGCTGGTCCCCAGAGCCCAGTTTGTAAGGTCGTGGTTCGACAGTCTGGGCTGCCTCTTAAATCCTTTGGGTAAATCTGGTGTAGGTGGGCCTCAATCCACACTTTACAGCACAGAAGTTGTACCTCCTCCTTTCTAACCCAGACTTGGGTGAAGGGCCGAGAGGCTTGAGGCAAACACAACTTCCCTACCTTTTCCCCCCTCCACTTTTGACAGAAAATGTGTGCATCTGCTTTGTTAAAGATTGAGGTCATGAGAGCTATGACAGGTGCAGTCACCTCGGTCTCACTGGAAAGTGCAGCAGAGGCTGCAGGTTGACATCCTCACGAGATGAAATGCAGGCTTTGTAACCTGCCTGCCACTCAGCCTGGTGGATCTGATCAACGTACTTTTGTTCCCGCAGTTTCTAGGGGCCAGACCCTGGAACCTCAGCCATTCTCCTGCACGGTCTCAGGCTCACTGTCTGCTTCCTCCCCTTTCACAATGAGGTGCGCCCATGTGCTAGCTTGTTGCCTTTCTTGTGGTGAAACCTGGCTTCTCCATGAAAGGCAGGCCGGAGCTCTGCCTTGTGCAAGAATAGCAGAGTTACAGCAAGAGCGACCTGCCTGAGCCCGGCGGTGGTGTGACACCGGGACATCAGAGACTGATGCACGAGACGGTTCAGGTTGGGGTCCGGAGGCCTCCCTGAGTACTCCAGGTGCCAAGCCAGGGGTCTGCAACAGGCCAAAGTTGGCACCTACATGAGGACGATAGCACCAAGACCTGTGGGGGGCGCTGTCTGTCTTACTTAAGGAATAAATATATAAATTAAACTTCTAAAAAGTGACCTATCCTGGACGTTTACAAGAACACATAACCTCCATTTCTTCTTAATTTGATATTTTTGCCATTGCAGGTTAAAAGCTAGTATCATGAGTCTGTGGGAAATCTTGTGTTCTACATCAGTTTGGCATAAGTCAGAGTGAAAAAAATTTTTTTAACTATCCTCAAAGAAATATAATGGTAGAGAAATAGGGTTACATATTTTGGTTTGGAACACAAACCAAAATATATTTTTAATCAACCAGAATGTATAACAGCCTTGTTTACCTAACTGATATCTTCTGTGAGATTTGTCCCTCAGCCTATGCAGTATATTTTGTTTTTAGGACTTTTTTTTTTTTTTTTGTCATCGGGCATGGATGCTTACTGGAGAGAGACAGAGAGACAGAAGGAAAGTAAGAAATCACCCCCACAGAGGATGGCCATGCCACAATCCCTTCTCCTCCATTCTCCTGTTGGGACTTTGGGTGTGCATGTGTACCCAGCATGATTTTCCAGCCACCAGGTCCAGGACTTGAACCATGGTCAGTCAGCCATATGGGGTCCAGCACTTTAACTACCACGCCACCTACTGGCCCCATAAATGATTTTCTGTTTAACCGCTCAGGTCTTTGTTAAATTCTGGGGAAGCTTAACAAGAGTACATTTCGATAGAGCTGAAAGCGTCATGCCTTCTTAGCCCCAAAGTCACATAAGTGATTCTCTTTTCCGTTGCAGTGGTGAGACGGCATTCAAGAACATGACTATCCCTTATGGGTGGGCGAAGCGGCCCATGCTCCAGCGGATTGGGAAAATGCACCCTGACATTCCGGTTTCGGTGATCTTTGGCGCCCGGTCCTGCATCGATGGCAACTCTGGCACCAGCATCCAGTCCTTGCGGCCACACTCCTACGTGAGGACGATAGTAAGTGTGGGCAGCTGGTTCTCAGGCGTGGCAGCCCCCTTAAACGAGGTCTCGGTCACCCCGAGACTGCACAGCTGAGCTCTCCAGGACAGGGTTCCACACGTACCAGTCTTCGTGTCCACACAGTGAGCCACCGTCCTCGGGCCTCGGGTCCTGGGGCCACACCATCGTGGCATTAGGAGTGACGGAAGGAGCGACTGGTCTAGGACTCGGCAGCTCACCTCGAGGGCAGCGCGTCCTCGCCGTGCTCAGCGTCTGTCGCTCTCCTCAGCCAATGTGGGGGCCGATGTGCGTATGAGAAGTCTCTGAAGGGAGCCAGTCAGTGGGCAGCCCTGTACAACGTGGTCCCATGTGGGATTGTCCTTGGATCAAGTCCAGAGACTCCTGAGTCACTGGCCCAGACTTGTGTACCTACCACCCAGGGCTGGCTAAGTGTGTGTGGGGGGACCACAGTGTCAAACCCTATTGAGGGTGCTCGCTTGTTCTCTCCCCTCTTGCCTGCTCAGGGAAGAGAGTCATTAGATGTTCCTGTTTGTACTCTGATCTTTTTGATGAAAATGCTTACTAGTTAGCACAGGTCACTTGCTTCTCCTCTCGTCCTGCGTTTTGCTCGGCTCAGGCGCCGCTCACGGTCTGGTGAGACAGCACCATCTTACCGCGTGATCTCACGCACTGACGTCGCTCTTGTCCTTACCCAGGCCATTCTTGGAGCAGGGCATTACGTGTACGCAGATCAGCCGGAGGAGTTCAACCAGAAAGTGAAGGAGATCTGTGACACAGTGGACTGAACACACCGAGGCCCCGCGGGACACCTGCTGGCCAAGACCACTCGGCAGGAGCCCACAGTCCGCAGCGAAGCGTGAAGGAGACAGCGCGGAGCCAGCAGCCTCCTCGGCTGCTCGTTAACAGTTTTCTTTAGAAGCCACTTGCACGTTGAAACCAGGTAGTGCCTTCTAGAAGGACGGTTTTCCTTTCCTCTACACAGCACTGGGAGTCACCAGTCTCCAGCTAACAGCTTTAAATAAAAGGTTTTTTGTCCCTTCAGTGTACTGAAATACACTTTTTCAACGGAAATGTTTTTCATTTTTATCTAACTTTGCTGGTCGAGTACTTTTTGTATCGCAGTGTGTATTGCCAACGTGAAGAGCAATTCTTGGGCCTGTTACGTCACATACTCTAAGGTGGCCCTCACTGCCTGTGCCTGCATGTGTTCCCCACATCTGAGAACTGATAGCGTTAACCCAAATGCAGCTTGCCTTACATAAACATTGTCAGTTATTTTATGAAACGACAAGACAGGGTTTTGGTTAAAAGAGTGGGAGTTGATCACTAGCATTGATTTTTCTGGCTTTCCTCTGTTTTATACTCAAAGCTGCTATGCCATGCCCAGCAGCTTAGACCTGACCCATCCAGACACAGTCTGCAGCAGCACAGCTCCTGGGAGCCCTGTGTGACGCGGCCCCAGGAAGCCCGGCCTCTGTGTGTAAGGGCTTCAGTGTTGGAAAGCCGCACCTACCGATGGACCAGAAGAGTCGCGACGTGTTCTATGCACAGATGACTCATGACTTTTCCCATGACCCAGTCAAAGCCCGTCTCCTCACCCCCTGCCCCTTTTCCGTGAACCGAGATGTGGCAGGCAGTAACAGGTGCCCACACTTACGGGGCTGTTATGTGTGACTGCTGCCTTCCAGGAGGTCAGGTCTTATCACGTGCTCATTAAGACTTGACTCCTGTAGATCGGTGCTAAAACTGGGATTTATTTTTACTAGAATATAAAAATGGGTAGTGCTATTACATCTCATGGCACCAGAAATGAACCAGCACCGAGGTGGTTTTTACTAAGAGTGCTGTGTTGATGAGCTCCTTCACAAACTTGAAGTTGTATTAGAAAAATTCTGTAAACGTGATTGAACTATTCAACAGTAACTACCATTAAGGGTAGCATTTTCTTGTGGTTATAAAATGGTAGAAACTTTTTTGAAACTGGGAAAAAGTTCCACGAGGTACCTGGCGGCTGAGAACCACCCCCCCACCCCCCACTCACCAGGAAGGCATCTTTACCTTATGTTTTGCACACTTTGCTTGTCTAGGAGAGGGTGGTTATATAAATAAAAACAGTGAATTACAGCAAATAAGGGCTTAATAGTTTTTGCATTTTAAAATGGTTAATTAGGAAATTTGTAATTGTTAGAAAATTAGGGTTGTATCATTGTTGGTTAATTACCAGAAAGACTGAATGTTCTATTTTCAACATTTTTTCCCCTACACAAGAATAGGGACGTTAGACTGACCCACGGCACAGCGGCTCCACGAACAGCGTGTCCCACTGTCAGATTAAGGAGGTCAGGGCAGGAAGGCAGCGTGAGTACCCAGCTGTGTTGTCTCATCTCTACCTGATAAAGTAGCCTTGCCTTTCAGTTAGCATCTCAGACGGTCAGGTTGTAGGCCTGTACGTGCTACAAATAACGCGGGTCATATTTCCATGTTTGTGTTTGACGTAACCTCTGGTCTGCCTAATTATCCCTTGTTTGGCCTGTTTCCAGTTGTACGGGAGGGTTCTTACTGGGGAACTTGGTCCCAGACCTTGGAAGGAGGTGATCTGGTTTACTTAGTGAGCGTGGAGTTTCTGACCACAGATGTGTTAAGTGATTCAAGAAAAAGTGTTCAGATACCAAGCGAAACTCATTTTCCTACCAACTGAATTGCTTTATTTGAAAAATGTTGTCTTAGTCTTTTTGAAAGTGAAATCGGGGGCCAGCCCGTGGTGTGGTGGTCAAGGTGGCTGGATCCCACACGGCCAGCTATATGGTTTGAGTCCCGAACCTTGTGAGAAACACAGCAGATACTTGTGCATGCATGGCCCTGACCCCCAAAACAGAGAGAGGTGGAGGAGAAGGGAACTGCGATGTGGCCATTCCCCAAGGTGGGGGTATCCTTTCTCAATTTCTCGCTCTTTCTCTCTTTCCAGCCAAGTGCACATACCCTGTAGGGAATTTATTTTTAAAAGTAAAATTTTATCTCAGGGTATAGTATATATGACTTTATGAAGATTAAGCTGGCAGAGGTCATAATCCTAACAGACCTAAAAATACAGTGGGTGCTAAGTGTTTTCTTAAAAGATCTCTTACAGTATTTGGTCTTTTCTAAGTTATGCGCGATGTGCTTTATTTTACAGAATAAACTTTACTGTGACTGTTGCAACATGCACCCGTATGGTTTCTTGAGTCGTTGGTATGAAGCAGTCTGTTCGTAAGAGCTCTCACAGATGCGAGCCCTGGGAGTGCCATGAATACCTGCGTCGTTCCAAGGGAAGGCCACTCTGTGGGTGTGTGGCCACCCTACACGGCTTTCCCGTGTCTGCATAAACTTGGGATCCTCAGGCATTTGTTATGTTTAGTAAGAACCTTGGGAAATACAGAACTGAGTCTGGTTTGTAGGTGAGGAGAACACTGAACGGCCTTCCTGGCAGTCCTGCTCTGCATGTGTGTGTGTGTGTGGGGGGGGGGG